ATCTTTCAAATTATTTTCCCTTTTATTTTTAATCTTATTTTTGTGTAATGCATTAGCAATAATTCTACCTTGAATGGATGCTTTATACGCTTCCCATTCAAAAATTCAGGCACTTGAGGTTTCTGAATTCAAATCAAAATATTATAAGGCCTCTACCTGCATTTGTTGTATAAATTCTTTATCATTCAATAGGGAATGATACCAATTTCTCAATACCTTGACCAGTTTCTGAAACACACATTTCAAGGTGATTTCAGTAAGATCAGATACATAACAAACATCAATGTTACATTCTTGAATTTGATGATATAAAGTCGATGATATTAAGAAGTAATCAAGCCTAAAAAAATTCTGATGCACATTTGAATAAAATGTATATTCTCTTTTAGTTGGATATATCAAACGTCAGGGGTCTACTAAATTCAATTCTTCCATATAAGTCTTAATTGTTTCCCTCACTAATGATTGTTTTTTCCCTGCCAGTGTATTTCTGTCAAGCTCAGAATCCATTATTTCATTAAAATCTCCTATTATCAATTTATCATAAATATACTCTTCAAGTGTTGAAAACATTCATTAAACATAGGAGTATCTAAATTTGGTCCATAAACATTAACCATAGCTATTGCAGACTCTGCTATTTTGGCACACAAAATTAAATAACGCTCATTTACATTAGTGCTAGCTTGTTGTACATCAATTGTGAATCCTTTTTGAACCAGAATGGCCACACCTTTAGCTTTCATCGAAGTATCTGTGAGGTAAACCTGTCCTACCCAATTTTTCATTAATAGAGATTTATCCTGTCCTATTAGGTGAGTCTCTTATAGATAAGCAATATCTGTCCTTAACAATTTTAAATATGCTAACATTACATTTTGTTTCTTGGATTCTCGTAATCCTTTTACATTTAAACTAACTTCATCCATAAATTTTATTTTGGCCCATTCATTCATTCATTCATTCATTCATTCATTCATTCATTTATACAATTTATATAGCCACCCATCTCTCCACAGGCGACTCTGGGTGCCATACAACACAGCTAAAAACAATACATTCAAAATATAAAAATCAAAATAGAACAAAGAATAAAAGGATGTTAAAAATAAGGAAGCCACCCCCACTTATCAATATTCTCCCAATATCAGTTCATTTTAGACAGAGACTTTATTTCAATCACTGACCAATAAAATCATTTTATGACCCGTACCATTTAACAAATATCTAATAATAAACTTTTCTATATTTAAATATTTAACATAGTTTCTAATATTGCTCACAGATGTAGAGCC